AGTTGATATCGTGAGTGGTATATATCTGGGTGAATTCGTGAGTTGATATCGTGAGTGGTATATATCTGGGTGAATTCGTGAGTTGATATCGTGAGTGGTATATATCTGGGTGAATTCGTGAGTTGATATCGTGAGTGGTATATATCTGGGTGAATTTGTGAGTTGATATCGTGAGTGGTATATATCTGCGTTATGAAGTGATTTTGAGAGAGATAAGTTCATCCTCTCAAATTTAACTCAATCCCAAATAATCACTTGGGATATGCTACAGCTGTACTGAAAACAAAGATAAACAGATTGGTTGAAACTGCTGCCAATGGCAAAATATCTGGACTTCACCTGCCAAAAGCTACCGGAGATTATAAACCTGGATATGCATATAGAACTGTTAAGACTAGCAAATATGTAAATCCACTTCGACCAATCAACAGCCAGATATCTACACCCACGTACAGACAGGCCTGCTTGATAGGGTTCTGGGAGTTCTTCTACTCCCCAAGCCCAGCCCGAGGCCAGGCTTGACTTGTGAGTTTGGTCCACCAGGCTGTTGCTAGGAGCGGCCCGCAGGCCCACATACCCACCACAGCCCGGTTGGTCCAGCACTCCTTGAAGTAAACTATCTAGTTTCCTCTTGAAGATGTCCACGGTTGTTCCGGCAATATTTCTTATGCTCGCTGGGAGGGTGTTGAACAACCGCGGACCTCTGATGTTTATACAGTGTTCTCTGATTGTGACTATGGTACCTCTGCTCTTCACTGGTTCTATTCTGCATTTTCTTCCATATCGTTCACTCCAGTACGTTGTTATTTTACTGTGCAGATTTGGGACCTGACCCTCCAGTATTTTCCACGTGTATATTATTTACTATCTATTTGATAGACTAGATCTGATGATACAACGGAGACCATGCTCTTGAAGTTATCTTGAGATGATTTCGGGGCTTAGCGTCCCCGCAGCCCGGTCCTCTATCAGGCCTCCTTTTTGTTACACACCCTACACCTTTCCCCCCCTCCCAGGAAACAGCCCGTAGCAGCTGTCTAACTCCCAGGTACCTATTTACTCCTAGGTGAAAAGGCGCATCAGGGTGAAAGAAACTTTGCCCATTTGTTTCCGCCTCCCCCGGGGATCGAACCCGGAACCTCAGGACTTCGAATCCGAAGCGCTGTCCACTCAGCTGTCAGCCCCCCTTGTAAAAGGGGGTAAAAAATAAAAAAAAATACTAGACAGTAAAAAAAAAATTAAAAAGTGAAAAAACTAATAGTAAAAAAAAGTGACTAAACTTGGTTGTCTTCAGTAATCTTACAGTTGTGAGTATGAGAGTCACCTCAGGTGACATACTTAGGAGTATGAGAGTCACCTCAGGTGACATACTGAGGAGTATGAGAGTCACCTAAGTTGACATACTTAGGAGTATGAGAGTCACCTCAGGTGACATACTTAGGAGTATGAGAGTCACCTCAGGTGACATACTTAGGAGTATGAGAGTCACCTAAGGTGACATACTTAGGAGTATGAGAGTCACCTTAGGTGACATACTTAGAAGTATGAGAGTCACCTTAGGTGACATACTTAGGAGTATGAGAGTCACCTAAGTTGACATACTTAGGAGTATGAGAGTCACCTCAGGTGACATACTTAGGAGTATGAGAGTCACCTCAGGTGACATACTTAGGAGTATGAGAGTCACCTCAGGTGACATACTTAGGAGTATGAGAGTCACCTCAGGTGGGGACTGACTGTGGTTCACTTACTGGCCCCTGGAGCACCTTGCCCTGCTAAAAATATCGACTCTATAAGCGAACATCGCCGTCGACAAGGTCAAGTTCCTGAAGTTGGCACCACGATGCTCTAATGTGTTCTTTGATGAGACACTCGCGTATTGGGAGGGAAGGGGGTCTTAACTACACCTGACAAGAAGTACAGGTTACAGGTGTGTGAGGTTATGACATCACACACCTGTGGGTGATGTTTATCCCACACCGGTGGGATAAAGTATACCCACCGGTGGGATAAAGTATACCCACCGGTGGGATAAAGTATACCCACCGGTGGGTAGTTTGGTACTAACTACCCACCGGTGGGTAGTTTGGTACAAACTACCCACCGTCGTTACACACATATAACTCCTTCAGTAAAATGTTGTGTCATTAGGGCTTAGGAACGTTAGTTCCATCTCTCCATATCTACGTTTTTCTTGTGGATTTGCAGAGGTTGTAAAAGGTATTTGTAGATTCATTTTGGTTATTATTAGTATGTTCGACGGTCATTTATGCAGTTATCGTACACTATAAGTTTGTATCGATATCGTATATCGAAGACTATCGTGCAGACGAGGAGTCACAATAACGTGGCTGAAATATGTTGAACTTATGAGCCTAACTAAATATGAGTTCACAATCAACTTGAGAATGGTCCAGGACGGATTGAAACGTCGTCGTCGTCCCTTCACTTCCTTGTGTGTGGTCTGGTCAACATAAACTATCGTTCTACAGTTTGTGTCGAGATCTAGTGCTTATCTCTGAGGGTGGTAACTCATACAGGACTAATGGGATGAGTGACTCGCGCCTTGAGTGACTAGCGCTAATGGGATGAGTGACTCGCGCCTTGAGTGACTAGCGCTAATGTGATGAGTGACTCGCGCCTTGAGTGACTAGCGCTAATGTGATGAGTGACTCGCGCCTTGAGTGACTCGCGCTAATGTGATGAGTGACTCGCGCTAATGTGATGAGTGACTCGCGCCGGGCAAACCTTGGCTGCAGAATGATGATAGCCTCATGAACACAAGAGTTAATAAAGTAATTGCACAGCTCCAGGTTATCCTAATACCCACAGGTCTGAGGTGTCTCATGGCTACACATTCACTGTCAGTCCAGATTACCTCGACAACTCTTGGGATGAAGAGCTTCACATGCTATTGCCAAGATGACGGGTTATCTTGAGGTTATTTTGAAATGATTTCGGGGCTTGAGTGTCCCCGCGGCCCGGTCCTCGACCAGGCCTCCACCCCCAGGAAGCAGCCCGTGACAGCTGACTAACATCCAGGTACCTATTTTACTGCTAGGTAAAAGGGGCATAGGGTAAAAGACACTCTGCCCATTATTTCTCGCCGGCGCCTGGGATCGAACCCAGGACCACAGGATTACAAGTCCAGCGTACGGTCCGCTCGGCCGACCGGCTCCCCGGGTATATGAATGATTATTAAAATCTTTAATATACAGCCCAGCCTCATATTTTGGTAGTACTTATAGTAACGATAAGGACCATAGTACTTATACCGACTTACAACGGAATTAAGAAGTAGAAATGCGAACAACTGAGTTGGGCAAACCGGAAAACTATTTTTTTTCTTGTGTTGCTTTGACAAACTAACCTAACCTCCGTAGGCCTAATACACGATATCTGAGGCCTAATATACTACATATATGTGCTATATTAGGCCTAGAAATACTTGTGTTTTACCATAATTGTAAAAGAATTTCTTAGTCATTTAGAATTTAGATACTAATTTATAGAATTTAGAATCTAGAATTTAGATACTAATTTATAGAATTTAGAATCTAGAATTTAGATACTAATTTATAGAATTTAGAATCTAGAATTTAGATACTACTATCTAAAAAGCTAAGAACGTACGAATTCGTGACTATTGCCGCTCGTCACAATAGTTACTATCTAAATACGAGGAGGTTATCTTGAGGTTATCTTGAGATGATTTCGGGGCTTTTAGTGTCCCCGCGGCCCGGTCTTCGACCAGGCCTCCACCCCCAGGAAGCAGCCCGTTACAGCTAACTAACCCCCAGGTACCTATTTACTGCTAGGTAACAGGGGCATTCAGGGTGAAAGAAACTTTGCCCATTTGTTTCTGCCTCGTGCGGGAATCGAACCCGCGCCACAGAATTACGAGTCCTGCGCGCTATCCACCAGGCTACGAGGCCCGAGGAGTTGAAATATAATATAACTTATCAAATTTAACGTTTTATCAAATTTATCAAATACCACCACGCCAGCAATCGTGTTTTTGGTAAAGATTCAGATTCAGATGTTTATTCAGGTAAGGTACATACATACAAGTGATGTTACATTAATGGATTGATATATAGATAGAGCTAGTACATACAATGCCTAAAGCCACTATTACGCAATGCGTTTCGGGCAAGATGTTACTTAACTGAACGGCGAAGGTTGTGGCTTTCCTGATTAAGGTAAAGTTAGTTCATTGATGTTGTTAACATACTCGTGAGAGCGTGTACTAGGCCATTTATTGGCGGTAACTTTAACAGCAACAATTAGGCTGATTTTGAAAACAGTATTCCGATTCTAATTTTTTTATTGCCGATATATAGACGTCAAAACTGCTGTTATTATTTAGAAATTTGATCAAATTTCTTTCCTCTCTGGAGATGACAGGTTTAACACACACACACATTAGGGGCCTCGTAGCCTGGTGGATAGCGCGCAGGACTCGTAATTCTGTGGCGCGGGTTCGATTCCCGCACGAGGCAGAAACAAATGGGCAAAGTTTCTTTCACCCTGAATGCCCCTGTTACCTAGCAGTAAATAGGTACCTGGGAGTTAGTCAGCTGTCACGGGCTGCTTCCTGGGGGTGGAGGCCTGGTCGAGGACCGGGCCGCGGGGACACTAAAGCCCCGAAATCATCTCAAGATAACCTCAAGATAACACACACACACACACACACACACACACACACACACACACACACACACACACACACACACACACGAACTTATCCAAGCTAATAAACTGAAAATACCCGACAATTTACATAATACAGCCATTGCCCGGTCACTTCAATCTATAAGTCGTAGAAAAATGCATTTAGAAATTATTCTTACACAGTTTTTTAAGACTAATTTGATAAACCTCAAAGCTACATGTGAACGAACGCAATACGAACCAGTGAATTGTAAAATATTTCATTTTCCAATTACATGTGGGAGAGGCAGGGAGAGAAGCAAAGGTGTTGAGAGAGGTGTCCTTACTTACAAAGGCAGAAGAAGTGTTGGTACTGGCTGCTGCTGCGGCGGCGGCGGTGGTAGTGGAGGTCAGGAAGCCGGCGTGCACTTCTTAGAGCCAGAGTTCGCATGGAGCAACGGTAGCTGGCTGAGAAAGTCTCTTTTAGGATTCACTGAGAAAGCCAGCGAGAGCCACTGAACCAAAGACCGTCGTGGTAGTGTAAGTGTGGTGTAGTGGTGAGGGAGGTTGGCCCGGTCGAAGCTGCACTACTGTAGCGGCTTCTAGTTGTTAAGAGTAGTCCATCTCCTGGCACTGTACCCGTACGCCTCCTGAGCCGACTTACCCACTACAAGTGCCAACACACACTAGGCACGCTCACCATCCAAAGCCCTAGACCCACTCTGGCATCCTTTGGCACCAGGCGAGGCTGACCAATCACGACTCGAGTCACTACCGCCTGTCCAATGAGATTCCGGCATCACTCAGGAGCCGCGGTCAGATTATGTGCTCCTTGACAGACAGGAGCGGGTCTACCTGTACATCACCTGGACAGGTGAGCGAATACATGCACCCATTACACTACCTGCGGAGGACGTAGCCAGCTCTACAGGTGAGAGAGGGTGGCCCTTAGCAGCTCTTGTGAGGCAGGGAGAAGGACGTATAGGGGGCAGGACGGGCGGATGAGCAGGGTAGAGGTGGTGGGGCGGTAAGTGAGACTTCCCGACACTACTCAACCATTCTCTGACCCTCGCCCCCCGCCAGCTTCCCGCCTCCCCACCACATTCCTTCCTTCCACGCCCATACTGTGTCCCCCCACCACACCCAGTCTGTGGCACTTCCACGCCCATACTGTGTCCCCCCACCACACCCATACTGTGTCCCCCCCACCACACCCAGTCTGTGGCACTTCCACGCCCATACTGTGTCCCCCCACCACACCCAGTCTGTGGCACTTCCACGCCCATACTGTGTCCCCCCACCACACCCAGTCTGTGGCACTTCCACGCCCATACTGTGTCCCCCCACCACACCCAGTCTGTGGCACTTCCACGCCCATACTGTGTCCCCCCCACCACACCCAGTCTGTGGCACTTCCACGCCCATACTGTGTCCCCCCACCACACCCAGTCTGTGTCCCCCCCACCACACCCATACTGTGTCCCCCCCACCACACCCATACTATGGCACTTCCACGCCCATACTGTGTCCCCCCACCACACCCATACTGTGTCCCCTTTCTCACTCAAGTGTCTTAATGACACCCATATATCCCCACCGCCCATACTGTGTCCCCACCTCGTTATTCATCATCTCCTCCAACGCTCCCAGACACGCCCACCTTGCAACATGATAGGACCCCCCCTTCCCCTCCCCCAACATGATAGGAGCCCCCTCCTCACACCTCACACCATAACACGCCTTTCGTCAACACACTCAAGTTTAAACTTTCTCCCCCACTCCTCCAACACCACCACCATCCCCCACCTCCCCACCACCACTAACACCTTACACCCCCTCCCCCAAATGTCCCAGGACCCCCCCCAACTCCCCCACCGCTGCCACACTCCCAACTTGTCTATCACAAACGGACAAGTTTGCAACATTAAGAGCCAGATCATATGGCCGCCTAGAGGGGGGGGGGTGATGTGGCTAGAGGCCAGACCCCCGCCAGCCACATCCTCGAGTCCTGGCGTTGCTTCTCTATCATACACTTCAAACATCCTCTTGATGCGCTTAAAACTTAATCATTATTATTGTTCCAACTACTACTAAACACCACACTGCTCCCTCAGTACCCGGGGCTCACTACTTTACGGAGATGGTGGCCGAGCGGACAGCACGCTGGACACGTGATCCTGTGGTCCCAGGTTCAATTCCGGGCGAGAAACGATGGGCAGATTTTCTTTCACTCCATGCCCCTGTTACCTAGCAGTAAATAGGTACCTGGGAGTTAGTTAGCTGTCGCGGACTGCTTCCTGGGGTGTGTGTGTGTGGGGGAGGGGGGGAAATAGTAGAAACAGTTGATTGACAGTTGAGAGGCGGGCCGAAAGAGCAGAGCTTAATCCCCGCAAGCACAACTAGGTACTCACCTAGTTGTACTCGCCTAGTTGTGCTTGCGGGGGTTGAGCTCTGGCTCTTTGGTCCCGCCTCTCAACCGTCAATCAACAGGTGTACAGGTTCCTGAGCCTATTGGTGAATACAAGTAGGTGAATACATTGCACCACCACAACACACCAACACAGCACTACCACCACCACAACCCACCACAATGCACCACCACAACCCACCACAGCACACCTCCACAACACCAAACTAAAGAGAGAGACCACACCCCGTTTCGGCAACCTGTTCTCGCAAATTCGTAAAGTCAATATTGACTTATTAACTACGTGCATAGGTGATATACTAAACATAATAGATACCCTTAAAAAGATTCATAGAAAACACCGACCTTACCTAACCTTGTTAGTATCTTAAGATAAGCATCTTATTGCTTCGTAATTACAATTATTACTTAACCTATACCTATTATAGGTTAGGTAATAATTGTAATTACGAAGCAATAAGATGCTTATCTTAACATACTAAGTAGGTTAGGTAAGGTCGGTGTTTTCTATGAATCTTTTTAAGGGTATCTATTATGTTAAGTATGTCACCTATGCACATATATAATAAGTCAATATTGACTTATTAAATTTGCGAGAACGGGTTGCGAAGCACATGACCCGCCCCGAGACACTCCACCATCTTCACACTAACCAAGGCAGTGTTTACACCAGGCAGGCCGGGGGAGGCACAGCCATAAAATTCCATCACATAATGGCCCCGGGCGCGGGGGAAACGTTCCCACTCTGGTCCACGCTAAAAACGTTTATGGCAGCGTGGAACACGGGTGACCAATCGTGTATATAATGAGTATGATGAGGCAGAGGAGGGGTCTGGGGGGGCCTTGGGAAGGAGGGAAGAGGTGATGGGATGATGACATAGCCACTGTAGAAACGCTTGCTTGCATCCCGTCTTCATGTATGTATGTATGTATGTATGTATGTATGTATGTATGTATGTATGTATGTATGTATGTATGTATGTATGTATGTATGTATATGCTGCTATCCTTCTTCGACCCTCCCCAGGACTCCCTCACTCTTACTGCTACCCTCCCTACCTCCCTCCCCCTCCCTACCCACTAATGCCTTCCATCTGACAAGCACATGACACTTCTCTCACCAAGTGAGACGTGAGAGACAATTAACGCGGGTGTCTATCACACCGTTCATCAGGCCGGGGGGGTGGGGGGAGGGGTAGGGAGGCAGCCTGAGGTGTCTCACTGCCTGCATCTGTGGCTGGTGAGACACAGCTGTACACATCTGTGGCTGGTGAGACACAGCTGTACACATCTGTGGCTGGTGAGACACAGCTGTACACATCTGTGGCTGGTGAGACACATCTGTGGCTGGTGAGACACATCTGTGGCTGGTGAGACACAGCTGTACACATCTGTGGCTGGTGAGAGACAGTTGTACACATCTGTGGCTGGTGAGACACAGTTGTACACATCTGTGGCTGGTGAGACACAGCTGTACACATCTGTGGCTGGTGAGACACAGCTGTACACATCTGTGGCTGGTGAGACACAGCTATACACATCTGTGGCTGGTGAGACACAGCTGTACACATCTGTGGCTGGTGAGACACAGTTGTACACATCTGCGGCTGGTGAGACATACCAATAAACTCCTACGCCCTCACTCCCCATGGGCAGCAGCATCACCCTAGAAGAAGGGTGGAGGCCTGGTCGAGGACCGGGCCGCGGGGACACTAAAGCCCCGAAATCATCTCAAGAAAAGGGAAATAGATGGCAACACTCCCAGATGAAGTGCGAATTAAGAGTGTTCGTTTAAAGCATAATATGTGCGATTCATATATATATTTTTTTCCCAAAGACATTTTGAGAATATATCCAGTCTTTAGAGACTGGATATAATTTTATCTTGAAACATTTTCAAAACATTCTTCTTACGGTTTTGTGAAACGTTTACAAAACGTTCTTCCTGTAGACGAACATTATAAATATTTACTCTCCGAAGGCACTTGGAAACAAAACCCTTGTGAGACACACTTATGGGTCATTTGCAAGTGCTTTTCTTTGTTCAGGCGTTTGAGGATATTTTATATGTATGTACAACCACTCATAATGTGGTTGTGAGTTCCATTACAACTGAAGACAGATGTAATGAAGCCTCCAAGACCTATCTGGTTTCAATTCGTTGAAATATCCGAATCGTAAGTATTTGCAGTCTTGCAATGTGTGCTTCCTAGGATGAAACATCTATGCGGTGATCATGTCTCCCTGCGGCTCCTCGGGTCCTCTTGGGGATTACTTCTGTAATCCATGTTATTAGTTCCCTCATTCTATCTTGAGGTTATCTTGAGATGATTTCGGTGCTTTTTTTTTAGTCCCCGCGGCCCGGTCCTCGACCATGCCTCCACCCCCAGGAAGCAGCCCGTGACAGCTGACTAACACCCAGGTACCTATTTTACTGCTAGGTAACAGGGGGCATAGGGTGAAAGAAACTCTGCCCATTGTTTCTCGCCGGCGCCTGGGATCGAACCCAGGATCACAAGTCCAGCGTGCTGTCCGCTCGGCCGACCGGCTCCCCGCCCTTAGTTATATTTCAAACTTCGCTCTATAACATGGAATTTGAACCCAAGTATATAGGATCCTTTCTATAGAGCTACTATTTTTTGCCATTTAATAATGTTTATTCCTAGCTATAAATCACAACTTTGTGTTCACATTGATCATTAAGATCATTATTGTGTTCACATTGATCATGAAGATCATTATTGTGTTCACTGATCTATATTGATCAGCATTATTACTCACTCTCAGGGCCTGTGCCCTGGGTCTCTGAGTAACTGTACAGGTCAGCTCAAAGGTATGTGAGCACTGTGGAGAAATGCCTGACACACCACTGCAACATTATCTAACACAGTGCACAGTTACAACCACAACAGACCACTGGAACATTATCTAACACAGTGCACAGTTACAAACACAACAGACCACTGGAACATTATCTAACACAGTGCACAGTTACAACCACAACAGACCACTGGAACATTATCTAACACAGTGCATAGTTACAACCACAACAGACCACTGGAACATTATCTAACACAGTGCACAGTTACAACCACAACAGACCACTGGAACATTATCTAACACAGTGCACAGTTACAGCCACAACAGACCACTGGAACATTATCTAACACAGTGCACAGTTACAAACCCATTAAGATTTCAACTTAAGATTCAACAGAGCAGAAGAAGTTGTTAAACACACATGGGACAAAATCTTACTGAAGCGACCATACGAGTCATAAATACACATACTCCGCCCAAGTAAAACAGAAACAAGCAACACTTAGTGGGCCAGCCAGAGGCTTAGGGCCCGCCCAGTGGGCCAGCCAGAGGCTTAGGGCCCGCGCAGTGGGCC